TGCCGATAACTTTCATCCAACCCACGACGCGGTTTACATCGTCAGAAAAGACCTCCCAGGGGCCGTCTGGGGATCCGGTGATATCAAACATGACGTCTCTATTTGAGTCGTTGACACTGTTAAACACCATGAAACCCCGAACCACCACTCTGGTGAATATCCTCAGCGCTCCGTGTTGGCGAAGGCGACAAACCAGTATTGGGTCGACGAATCCAGGACAATCGGTGACGTATGGAACCATGCCACATCGACTAGATCTTCGAACATGTCAATGGGGTCGCGGCCAGGAAAGTCAGTTGGTGCAGTTCGGCACATCTGCAAGTAAACCGTGACACCCAAATTGCGATGCCCCCACAAAGCAGTTTCGCACCGTTGACAGAAGGGCATATGCCAACTTGCAGCACCGTGTCACGGGCCGCGAAGGAAGTGTCCAACGTAAAGATGACACGGTCGACAGTGAGCCCCTCTGGGTCGGTCCCGATAGGAAGGTTGCGGAATCGCGTCGCAATGCCGTGATCTTTACCGATGATGAGTCGATGGCTCGAGAAGTAGTAGTGCGACTTGGGATGCGACGGCGACGTGGACGAGACCGGCAAGAAATTTCATGGCAATGGACGACGCGGAAAATGTTCCAATGACGGTGGGGGGCCACCTTTGTCCCTCTGGAGTGCCTAACCACATGCACCGCGACATGCACTGCGACAGTGTCCCCGTCGCGACTGGAAACACGATATGCAATTGTCAGGCCCTGGAATGTCCCATGCAGTTGTGTCGGTGCGACACGCTTCGGACAAGAGACGGGATCGAAAATACTGTGAAAGTGTGCGATTCCTTGTTGTCCAGTTCAAAAGGCCTCCCTCCTGCATTTTCCCGACGAGAGAGGAATAGATTCGACGGTCACGCACAAGTGGAGCTCGCTCCTCGCCATGGCACCGCCTGCAAACGAAATGATACACACGACCTCCATCCACTTTGCTCCAGCATGCACAATTGCCTGGGCGGATGCTCTGTCGTCGCTCGCTGCTGTAAGGTGTTTTTCAATGAGGACTTTTACAAAGGTTTGGCCAAACATTGTGCCTGGTTTTGGACAATATAAACTGCAAGTAAATACGTGGATCCCTTCAACTTTTCAAGTAGAATCGTCGCAGATACAGTAGGTGTCAAAAGTCATCATACGATTGATATACTCGACTTGTAGGCGCTACAGCTCTAACCCTTGTAGCTATTTCAACAACGCAGATGTTCATAGTCGCAAGGACACCATTGATGTATCAATTCATCGAGACTACAGGTCCTTGACTTGGAAACTTGGCATGATATGATGATTAGAACCCTCTTGGCGTCCAAATCTAAAGCCAAAAGTCATCATACGAATATCAGAAATTCCCATGACATCATGTGTTCAATCAAGTTTAGTACTTTGTGGCACCACCTTTGTTTGCAATGACCATATTCAAGCGCTTCGGCATGCTCGAAATGAGCTTTTGAACGTAGTCGTCAGAGGCATTGTCCCAAATTTCCTGCACTCGGATTCGCAGGGCATCAACCGATGAAGGAGGGTTACTACGAATTCTACGCTTAACGTACTCCCACACATGCTCAACGGGATTGAGATCAGGGCTTTGAGGGGGGTGATCAACCTTCTCGAAAGCGTTTTCGCGAAAAAAGCCTCGACATTCTTGGCAGTGGGGATTTGGGGGCATTGTCTTGGTGAAAAATAAAATCGACCGGAAGGTCAAGCAAAATAAAATCCTCGGGGAATTTTTTCTTGAGCAGGTCAAGATAGACGGTCGAGTTATCTTTTCCTTGGAGATGAACCAAGGAATCCGTGCCATTCCATCCCATAGACCCCCAAACCATAGTGTTGGAACGGTCACTCTTGAATTTTGGAGCAAGGCACTCATCCTTGAACTCTTCTCCAGGTCGGCGCCACACATACACACGACCATTCGACCCCGACAAGTTGAAAGGACTCTCGTCGGTCCACAGAACGTGTTTCCAGTCTTGTTCTTGTGCTTCAATGCGTAGGCCAACCGCTTGGTCTTTTTCGCCTTGGTCAAAAACTGTTTGCGACGGCTGCACGGCCTTTCAAGCCTTTGTCTTGTATACGGCAACCAATTTTTGAGGCTGAAACATCCTTGTCATGGAAAACCTGAAACATTTTCACCAAGGATTCAGCACTCAGTCGACGATTTCTTTTCACTGCACGCACGACAATGCGGTCCTCGCTGGGTGTCGTGGCCCTTGGTCGGCCTGAACGCGGCTTAATCGCCGTTTTTCCAGTCTTTTTAAAAGCATTTACGATGCTCTGGACCGTGGCCTTGGATAAGTTCAGCTTCTTGGCAATTTTGCCAAGCGAGACACCTTGCGAGTAGTTGGAAACTACAAGATCTCGAAGAGCTTGTGGATGTTGTTGCTTGGACGGAGGTGGTGGGTCTCCTGGGGCTTGTTGGTGCATTATCATGCACAATGGTATTAACTTAATGGGAAAAGAAGTTGTGACGATTTGTTCTGTTATAGAATGCCTAATGGACTGTTGGCGCCAAATTTTTTAAAACCGTATGTCGACTTTTGACATGGATAGTTTAGGGCCTTGAACGTCCAATCAATCTTTTGAATCCAAGGTTGAGCCAATAGGGTGTTGATTTGATGCTGATGAGGTTCTCAAATAGGTGACTCTCATGGATGACAAATTCTCAACTGAGATTACAAATTTGACCACATAATGGATTGTTAAAGAAAAGAAATAACAAAAGTCATCATACGTTATCTTCGTATGATGACTTTTGACACCCACTGTACGTGTCCCAACTCGATGACGATATTCTTCACCATCAATTTCAGTTGTGCGACACACGTCAGACACGTTCTTCCGATGCTTTTTCACGTCGTGAAAGGTCGATGCATCTGCCGTTTAGGAGTGTCACAGTCTACAGGGCCAACCTGTCACCGGCTGCGGTGGTGCAGCGTCGCCATTGAGCTTCTTGGTCGATGGGAATGCTGGCAGGTTACCTCGACGTGGTGATGGCATCCTCTTCTCTCACATGCACGGGATGTGTATTCCATATCGAGCAATGGTGGCTGTGGAGTTTCGTCACAGTGTGACTTGGCGAGGACGCTGCGCACAGCGCAACGATGGCGCCACCAAGATTTCCTTGCTCGACCGCGGATTGTCGACCGAAAGGACTAGGCATTGAACCTTACACCATTTAGCCTAGAGACGCATACATAAACATATTTATATGCGCAAGACTCTTCTCGTGAACGGCGAAACACCGAGACGTATCCTAGTACCCGCGTGTTCTGCGTCGCAGCCTCTGTGATCGTCTCGAAGGTTGGGTTCACATCAGCGAGTTGTCAGGGCGACTAGTAGGCTTTGCAGAGACATTCTAGTATGGGAGCAGGCGGGCGATTAGAACGAGGGTGTGTTCACTGCTGGCGGAGGCCTGCCGTGCAGTTCGAATAAAAGTCAGTTTACGATTGGATTCGGCCTCCGGACAAAGAGGTTCCTGCTAGCGGCAAAGCGGTAGATACAACAAAGTTAACTTTAGTCGATATCAACGAAGAAATGAGTGACGACGAACGCCAAGTGGAGAATGACCGGTCGAGGTCACGTGAACGCTCGGTTGAACGTCAAATGGTTGTGGAGCGGGGTCGCCCGAGCCGTCGAGTGGTAACGAC